GCAAGCTCTCGGACAAGCACTGAGCATACAGTGCTTATTAATATACGTTGGGTAAGGGCAAAAACCGTTATATATATAATCCACCCTGGGATGTTGCATCTGTGAAGTGATTCATTGACTTCTTCCCTTAAGCAAGTCTTAAAAGGTCTAATCCAACATAAGTATAGCTGACCAGCATGACCATGGGGCATTTTGCCCAACTCTCAACCCAAAATGTTACCTAGAATCTGGTGGAGCGTCCCTTTTAAAACTGACCTGTTGGCGTTGTACGTCTCCGAGAAGAGTATGTTGTCACGCATGGTTGCATTCAGAAGCCAAGCCTTCTGTCCAGCATAGGCAATCGACTCATTGTCACTGTGAGGTGGAAACAGTACGAAGCAAACGCTGCACACGTTACTTAGATATCAAATTGATAAATATACTTTGTAAAATCATTTTCATAGATTAAAACTCAAGGCACTGAGGGTTATTCGCGAATTGAATGTCGAACGTAACACATTTTGTTTTTCTTTTGTTGTGTTTATGTTCTCCTTTTTTCGCAGTATAAAGAGAGAATCAAAGGCGTTACTGCAAATGCAGTTTTTATTTCCAACATCCTCGGGGCATACCCGATCTGAACTTGGCCGGAGACTGTAGTCATTTCACCCAGCATTGCAGCGAGGATGGACGACTTCCCGCTGCCCACAGAACCCACCACCATCGTCAATTTACCTGAGGGGTTGGTGTAAACACAAAAAAACATCCCAAGGTAAAAATCGTCAGAGTGGTCTCGGTGATCGGACAACAAACACTCACGTGGAAACACACGACAGGAAAATGGCCCTCATGCAAAGGTTAAGGCTTAGCACCACGTTTTGAAGCTTTGTTTCATTTCTGGAGAAATGACCCTGCTCTCCTAACAATAGTCATGAGAGCTGCGATTTTTGCCTGCCTGGCGATGAATAAGAAATAAAGAATGCAAGGTGACTTTACAAGGAATCATGAAAAATGGAAGTGTACTCTAAATTAGCTTGAATTCACTGGGTCGATTACCCTAAACCGTTTTCACAGTGTCTAATCATTATTTACTCAAACCTTTCTTCCCTTTGGAACTGTGTGCGAGTAAATTGTGTAATTTTCGAAATCTCTAAATAGCTCACTTTTTATAGTTGAACTTTCACATTATTATCGAAGAGATTGAGAGGAGCATTCCATCGATCTTTGACCCATAGCAATCGCAACAGGTAGTCAAGACTTACCTTTCGGTATTTCAACATCGATGTCACTGAGACAGGGCTGGGAACCTTCGGGATCCCAGAGGAAATTACCCCTCGAGATCTAGAGAGAAAACATCATAAGAAATTATCGTGACTGATATTCAAGCAACAGGTGTCTGCCTCAACGCATTTGCCTGATTCTCACATTTTGACAAATATACCACCGGCTGCAGTATATCTGAACAATTACATGTTGCAGTTACTATGCACAATACAACGGGCCTAAAAAAAGATGTAGCATAAAACATTATGTTCCGAAGCAGCAACCAGTTTCCTGCAAGTAAAGTTCCATTCAGTTTCTTGGCGATTTCACTGGGTCCCAACTCTTGATACCATTTAAGGGACCCTTTCTTGGAAGGACATCCATTTGTCTGTGCTCTTAAGGCGCGGATTACACACGAT